TACCAACCATCCTAACATAGAGTGGTTCGAAGAAGTTGAAAAAAGATACGTACTGAACTATAACGTATTCAGGCAAGCCAGTGAGGATATCTGCAACGAATGGAACCTTCAATCCAGCGAAAAATCGGGTTACGGTAGACTGAACTGAGAAACAGATCACGGAACTGACTATAAATATGTGTGCAAGCTATTTTCCGATTTTTTCGCCATTGTCTACCGGTTTTCATGCCTGACGTCTACTACTGCATTTTTTTTTCGGCGAGTGGAAAAATCTTCGAAAGACACCTGGTCACCCTGTGACCACGTAGTGTCGGAATGTCCTCATTTTTCTAACCACCACTATGGCTAGGTCATCAAGAAGGTTATCACAGCACCGGAAGTCGTTTCAGTCCTTCAAATATCCATCAAATCCCATTTGGTTGAAAGCAAGGGTGATACATATACCTAAAGTGGGTCGCAAGACCCACACTCTAAATCGGTACGACCAATCAGTTTTACATCGTTTCTGTTGAAAGGACTTGGGAGGATACTGGAGGGACACATCAGGAGGATGGTATTATATGCGGTTGCTGTATTTCTCGTATTGAAGAAGCATTTGACAATGCACTACCTGAATCTATAGGATCATTTCTGGCTAGTAAAGGTATAGAATCGACCATAACTGGCTGGATCTATGTCATGCTGGTAAACAGAATAGAAAATATAAATCTTCAAAGCGAATTCATTAGGTTCAGGGTTACCAGAGGCTGCCTTGAAGTTGGGGTACCATCTCCCCTTCTGTTGTCGCTCCTGATGAATAGTGTGTCTAATGCTCTCGACATGAATAATGCCATCGCCATCGTTGTCCTAGCTCGAAGGCCTTTCAACTGGCATCTTCCCTCTGTCTAGCGCCACCACTGTCACAGAAACCCCTACTCCTCTGAATTCTCCCCCCGCCACATCACCGACGCAGAAACGCCGCCAATGCGCCGGGACAAATTAGCGAGGTAGAAGACCTCTTCTCTTCATTTACCAAAAAATAATTTTACAATATATATTTTTACAATGTAACCTAAATGTAACAAATTAGAAATGAAACTTAAAAACAACTCTACTGTTAATTCATGACCAAATCAAATAAAACTATTCCGTTATCCCAACCCATAACCCCTCACAATATTTCCGCATATATCGGATTTCTTTACAGTTCATTTCCACAGACTCATGTACAGCCACGACCAGGATGACACCCCTGTACTCCAGAAGCGACCTTCCCCATTTCGCCTTTGGTGGCTTGATAACTCACTCAAATCCTACCATTTCATCCCTCACCACGCTATCCGCGCATTCATTCGCGAATCTTATCCATTCCTTCTTTTTCCCATTCCCATCCCTTAGACTCATTTCCCCATTCACCCTCTCCATCCTTTCTTTCCACTCTCGCCATCCAATCCTGTCTCCTATCATGCATCTATCTATCACATGATCCGCCGTTTCCGGCTCTCCATAGTCACACGGGCAGGGAATCTCCGGGCCCAGGTTAAATCGCGCCAGGTATCCCGGGAAATTCCCATGCCCGGTGAACAGCTGGATCGCCTTTCGCGACAGATTCAGTGATTCATGCCCGACTGCCCCACAGAATCTGTAGAACAGTCGCCCAGTCACGCCCCTCTCCCATTCTCTTTGCCATTCCCTCTTTATACATCTCTTTTATTCGTTTTCTTTCCTCCTTTTTGTTATGAATCTTCCTCACACTTACCGAGACTTGCTCCTTGTTGATGCCCTTCTGGGCCTCCTCATGGGCCTTCGCATTTCCTACATTCTCGGCATCGTGTCCCCTCCTCCATGTGATTTTGGTACGTACTCCCCTCTTTCTCCTTTCACCAGTCATCCTCTGTATCCTTGCAACCCTTTTATTCACCACTCTTCCTGCTTTCACTCGTTCCAAAGCCATAGCAGAGTCGGTGACTATTTTCAGATTCTCTTCCTTACTCCACATGCCAATCACTCGCTCTATCGCTATTAACTCTGCTTCATTCACGCTGCTTTGCCAGATGATCCTTTCATTCCCTGTATTCCATTCCTCCCCTCTCCTCTTATATACCCATCCTATTCCCATTTTTTCTTCCTCCATACTCGCTCCATCGTCCACGTACACTTCACTCACTTCATCTCCCTTCATCTCCTCCAGCAACTCCCCATGCAGCCAGGGGGAAATTTTGTCTTCTCCTTTCACTCTGTCTTCTATCTTACTCTTCCCATTCATTTTTTTCATTACATCTGGCTCAGCCTTCTATCTGAAGTGGAGCCATTCCGGTGATGACGCTGAGCGCAGCCGTTGGCGTCGTTCTGTATGCTCCGCTTGCAGCTAGCAGAAACGACCTCTGTGCTGCACTCAGCTGTTTTTTCACCCTACTATCATGTGCCCTTTCATTCAGATACAGGTAGTGCATTTGACAATGCACTTCAGGTAGTGCATTTGACAATGCACTACCTGAATCTATAGGATCATTTCTGGCTAGTAAAGGTATAGAATCGACCATAACTGGCTGTATCTATGCCATGCTGGTGAACAGAATAGCAAATATAAATCTTCAAAGCGAATTCATCAGGTTCAGGGTCACCAGAGACTGTCCTGAAGTTGAGGTACCATCTCCCTTCTGTGGTCGCTCCTGATGGATATTGTGCCTAATGCTCTCGACAGAAGGAAAGTGGATCTACAAACTTATGCCAAGCACAAGAAACACACGCAGTGAGGAGAAACGAGAAAATCCGGACTAGCAGAGCATGTTTGGACTCATCAACCTAACATCAAGTCGGCTCAAGCTGAAATTATCCACAAGGAGGAACACTGGTTCAGGAGAAAATTCAAAGAAGCCGCACACGACCAACTCCTGCCAAATGGTCAGCTCCCGCTAAAACCAATGAAGCCGAGAGATGAAAGAGGGGATAGATGAAAGCACTCTAATGATCTATAAATAGTCAGATCTCGAAGGAATAAGCCCAGTTGTAATCCGAAGACGATTGTGGATACTAACAATCAAAACATCGTGAAGTAACTTGGTTTGGAATCTTTTAATTTTTAATTTCCATTTCTTGTCAATAATTTTTTATTTTTCAGCTCGTGTTGATAGTTAAATTTTTTGTTTGATTTTTTTTGGTTGTTGCTTGTATGTTATTTAATTGTAAATTTCAGCTTTTTGCTCAATGAAATTGTTATTTTTCAGCTAATTTTTTACAGATTCTTTCAGGAATTTCAAATCAATTCATATCATATTAGACAATGGAAGTCCGAACTGATGAAATGAACATTTCTCATTTCCATCAATATCCATTTGAATTTGATACACTACATCCTTCACCACTATCTCTGTCTCGCTAGATCTGTGAAAACCGTAATGAACTTTATATGGAAGGTTATTATTTTCAAAACCGCTCAACTCGACAGCAACAAACTCTATAATTAATCCCCTCCATACTTTAAATTTACCCCTTTTAAGCTATTCTTAGCTGCGATTTGTAATTCAGTACCAGTTGTTCAACATTATAATTTATACTTTAAATGGGCTTGCCCGTAAATAAATGAATAAATATAATTTTTTGAATCGTTTCTTTTGCCATTCAAGTGGTCCAAAATTTTCTGGGTGAACTGAATATGCTCTTTTATAGATCACATGGTATATATTTCATGAATATTCCCTCATATTTTCAGTAATATTTTCAAAAGTTGAGACTTGAAAACATTATGATGTAATTTGGAAGGGTTATATTTTTAGGAGTGATTAATTTTTTGGGAAAGAAAGTTTTTGGCTTTCTACTACTCCATCTAATACAAAAAAATGGATGAGAGAATCTTCCAAAGAAAGGAAGGATTAATCAATTTGTAAATAAGTAACTCTATACATGGATGTGTAGAACATGCAAAGAAGTAACTTTCAGACACAAACTGAAAGAAAGTCCTCCTGAAACAGCTACTTTCATATAAACATTGAATTACACGAAAGAAAAAATTCTTTCGAAACAAATACTTCTATATGAACACTGAATTATACAGAAGATACTTTTTTCTATTCAGTTTGTATATCGAACATTCGTGGAGGAATTAGAATCAGATATCATTCACATGAGTTCTACTTTGAATGAATGGTAATAAATTGTACTCACATGGAACACTGTCACCCTAACTGGTATACACGTGTTTCGCCTTAAGACACTTGCCCTAAGGCTCTTCAGTACCAAATTGGATAACATTATAGAAAATACACACACTTCATTCATGAATTACGATTTTGAATGTCACGGAATAAGCTTGATCTGCTTATGTCATCGATGACATCGTAATGACATTCATTCACCTATTTGATTTAATCCCAGCCATGAGGAATCTTCTTTGGAAGATTCTCTCATCTATTTTTTTTGTATTAGATGGAGTAGTAGAAAGCCAAAAACTTTCTTTCCCAAAAAATTATGATGTACAATTGATTATCAGTTGGAAGTTTTTTATTGATTGTCGTGTTATTAATGTTGCCCATAATTTTGAGTATTTTGAATTGATTCCACACAAAAGAATGACTTAGCTTGTGATGCTGCCTAATATCAGTAGTTCTGTGGTAACGTATTCGAAATAAATATATCAATTCTATATTTACGATTGTTTCATCACTAACACAACACAACTAATCGATACACATCAAAAAGTGGACAATTTTCATTTCATTTGAAACTGTTCCACTTTCGAAAGATTTGGATATGATATAAAATAAAATTGCAATACTTCAATTTTGACAGCTTTCACAGTTTTTACAAATCCACATGCTTTGTTAAGATCGAGTTGATCAATAATAAGTATCCTGTAATTCAGATTTACAAGAGTCGAGTTATGTCATCAAATTTGACACAATAAACAAAATTCGTTATGCTCGTTATTTCATCCGTTTCATCGGCCCGTTTTATCCCGATAGCAGGCACGCAAACAAGATAAGGAACCCCGAAATCCCCGAGCCCATTACACCGCAACTTACGCCAACGTGACTTCGTTGTCGCTTCTAGCTGATTCGCAATCCATCGACTCCCGAAGCCGGATGTGTCTGTTCCTCGTCCTGATGTGGGGTCGTAGTCGCGTTAGAGAAATCACTTCGGATAAAAGTGTCGCACTGGAAGTTGTTCGAGTTGCCATCGGCAAGCTGCTGTTGGAACCTGGAAGATAATAACCAAGATGAGGGTAACGAATGGAAAAGTTATGAGTATGTGATCGGGATGCTGGAGATATCAATTTTTCTAAAGGAACAGATCAGGAGTTTTTCAACTCTCAACTTAATTAATTACCTTTGAAACAGATAACTTGCGGAATAATGTAAAATCATGAAAAATAGAAAACAAAACTTGTTTTATGTTTTTATATCACTTGTATTTGTAACTGACTTCACTGCAGTTTAGTTCTACACGGACGTTTTCAAACTAATACAATGAACTGATATGATCAACAATGTTAACCCTTATATATCTATACGCTGCGGTGGTTAATAACAATACTTCATGACTTTATTACCTGAATTTTGTTTACCTATGAAAATGTGGGTATGCTAATCTGAAAATCGGCGACTAGACCGTATCGATTTGGTCATTTAGTAGGTTACATCCACAATGCTCATGAAATTTAAAGGATTTCAAATAATTCAGTTTCCAATCCTTGCCAGCATAGTGCAAAATTTTCGTACCGTTTATATTCGAAAACGTGTCGCTGTATTCCAAGAAATGTTTTGAAAACATCGAACTTAGTTTGAAAGACCTTCAGCATACCGTTTCGAGTAATTTCAGCCACATTGTCCCACATAAACACTATTATACTCCGGACACTTGAGCTTTTATACTCCAGATTTCAACATCTTGTCAACTTTATCATTGGCATTAGAAAGAAATTTAGATAACCCGTCATTTGACCTGAATGCCACTTCCACCAAGTCCCTTATTATTAACACCAATCTCCCTACCGAAGCTAAGTAAGTTCTCATCCCTCGAGAAAAATCCTCAGGTACCCCCCGCATATACGGTCTCCCACAAATTGTCGAACACCTTGCAAACACTCTTCATTCCCATGCAGAAAAGTCCTCGTCATACATACGAAATTCATTTCAGACACATTGAATATTCTTGAATATTCAAAGGCACCCTCAACCTCATCAGTCACTGTATGTCCAGTCCAGCATATACTCTTCCAAAGTAGCTTCCACCAACACCCTATATGTTCTCCTCTTTCACCAGTCCTTGTAAATCTTTTCAAGTTAGACTTCGAAACCAAGGCTATTGACACGTTCGATCACGAACCCTCTTGCTGGTTCAGATACGTGAAGGACTTTTTTTGTCACCACGGCTCCGAAACTCTCCATAATTTTCTTGATCACCTCAACGACCTTCACCCAAATATAAAATTCGCAATTAAAATTGAAATCGATAACTCTCTCCCATTCCTAGATGCCCTCATCACAAAATCCAATAACTCCTTCACCCATACGGTCTACAGGAAACCTACACACACAATCAGATACCCCAACGCAAACTCTCACCGTCATCTAGCACAAACCAACTCCATCATCAACCTCATAGACCGCCACAATAAACCAAGAGCTGGCTCAACTCAAATCAGCTCTCCTTCGAAATGGATTCACAGACTATCAAATTGACATATCCATCCGTCGTCAACAAAATTCTCCGTTCAGTCCCAAAGATCCAAAAGACAACAACGTTCCCCATAAAGCTTTTCTTTCCTACATTAAAGGTGTAACTGATAAAATTGGCCAAATTCTCAAAAAAACAGGACATAAAATCGATATTTACCGCCAATAATCAAATTTCCACATTCCTCCGTTCCCCCTAGGACAAAATTGTCAATGAATCCCAGGGTATATATGATGTGCTCATATTGCGATAGAACATATGTAGGCCAGACCAACAGACATGTGACACATAGACTTTGCGAACACTAAGACCATCGCCACAGTGAAAACACTGCAAGCTCGAAATTTAAAAGTGATCTTCCTGCCTGAACAAACGGTACCTATAACCGTCAGAGACTTCCAACTAGCTGGAAACCCCCAATTTCCCGATGCTCATCCCCACCCACCAAGACGTCTGGTGATGGTAATCAGCCGAAGCCCCACCCTCACATTTCCACTTCAGCATCTTCTGCTGATATAAATACCACCGAACACCCATCGATACCTCAGTTCAATCTAAGGAGAAGGCAGTTTGAGACCTGAGAGAGAACTCATGACGAGACCTGGGGAGTAGGCAGATTGAGGCACCGGCGTCAAGTCACATCCATTTCTTGAAAATGGCTCCTAAATGAGAGACGACACGTCGAACACAAAACTCCAGAGGCGGTACTGAAAAAAAATGATTTTCGTGATAGTCAATGTGCAAATGAAAAAGTTTTTTCGAATTGTTTCAGTCTTATCTGTGAAAGTTTTGGTGCACGATCTACACATTTTTGAAAGAAGTGTTTTCTATACTTATTTTCTTTTTATTTCTTCTGCAAATTGTTCAATGATGGAGAAGTGAAAAACCAAAATATTTATATCCAACAAAAATACACTGAAAATATCGCCATTTGAACTCAGAATATTTCACATATGGCCCATGTCTCAATTGAATTTCAACTGGAGAACTCACCCCAACAATGAAGAACACATTTGATATTTCAGAACCATTTCCGGAAGTATTACAAACAAAGTAGATCCAGTTGATCCGTTTACAGAAAGCCAAATTTAAAGATGATAACAAATTTACTTTGGGAGGAACAAACTTTCCAACATATCTTCAACGAGGATTTACCTATAGAGATAAAATATGAATGGGGTCTCAATACCTTCAGAAAAGCGTTTAAGGGGCTTACAAAAGTATTAGACTTTCAATTCTCCTTCAGGAATTTGCGAAGTTTATTGTTCAGTGGAGGAAGCCAGTCTCAGTTAGTTTTAACTACGTATCAAGCAACTACACAAGATTTTGTGGGTTACGAATCTACGGGGGCGCAGAAGAGCCACATGTTTTTCATTATTTGTTTTTTGATATTTATGACTTTGAAACTCAAAACCTTGGAATTTGACTGTAATTTCGACTTTCACTCGAAATTTCGGAATTGAAGTTGCTATTTTGGCTTGAAAGTAATTTAAAGTTCAATGTCCAAGTCTCGCGATTGAAGTCGCTGCTTTGAATTGAAAGTGAAAATTCCGAAATTGTGGTCAAAATTTCAAAATTCAAACCCAAAATTTCGAATTTGAAAACGTAATTTCGAGTGAAAAGTTGAAATTTATAAATTGATGTCAACATTTTGAGTTTGAAGTTGTAATAATTAACCTGAAGTTCAAAGTCGTAATTTTGAAGTCGAAAATTCGAGAATAGAGGCAAAATTTGGAAATTCAAAGTCGAATATTTGAAGTCAAAATTTTGGAATTTGAAAACGAAATTTCAAGTTTGAGGTCGAAATTTCCAGTTCAAAGTCGCAATTCAGAGTTTAAAGTGGATATTTCGAGATTGAAATAAAAATTTCGAATTTTGAAGACCTAATTTTGGAATGAAAGATGAAATTTCGAGATTGAAGTCAAAATTTCAAGTTTCAAGTGATCGTTTCGAATTTGAAGTTGAAATTCTGAAATTGAAGTAAAAATTTCAAAAGTCAAAGTCGAAATTTCGAAATTGAAGTCGTAACTTTTAATTTCGAGTCGAAATTCCGTATTTGAAGTCAAGATTTCGAAATTCAAAGTCGAAATTTCGAGTTTGAAGTCGTAATTCTAAGTTAAAAGTCGAAATTTCTAGGATGGTGTCGTAATTATGAAATTAAAGTCGAAATTTCGGAATTTGAATACGAGATTTCAAGTCTGATATCGAAATTTCGAATTTAAAGTCGCAATTTTGAGTTCGAAGTCGAAATTTCGTGATCGAAATCGAAATTTCAAAATTAAAAGTCGCAATTTTGAGACAGAAGTCGAAATTTTGAGTTGAAAGTCGTAACTTTGAATTCAAAGTGGAAATTTCGGAATTGAAATCAAGATTTCGAGATTCAAACAAGTTTGGAGTCGTAATTCCGAGTTGTAATTCGAAAATCCTAGGTTCAAAGTGAAAAATTTCAAAGATAAAGTTAAAATTTTGAAATTCAAATTCAAATTTTCGAATTTAAAGTTGGAAGTTTGAGGCCAAGGCCAAAATTTCGAGAATCAAAGTCGGAATTTCGGGTTTGAAGCCGTAATTTCGTAATTCTCCAGGCAATTCCATAATTTCCCACGAGAAAAAAATCAATCTGACAAAAACTGAAACATTTTGCAGGTAGTTTCAACGCCCTGAACTGATGAGGGAGTTATTAGACGAGCAAAATTGATATTGAACAGTTCTCTTTCAATCTAATACCTATCGAAGGATTCATGCAATTCGAAACTTCCTAAAGTACTTATCCAAAAAAATTCATTATTCAGTTCGGTAATCTTATTGAATTATTGAAAGACTGAATGTACTCGACTCAACTGACAATATTACAGGTAGATTCAACCCACCATGCTGTTGATGGTATGTTGAAAGATACAATTTCTTTTGGAATTGCCACTCAGTTATTCATTTCGTCGCTCCCGGCTCTGCGAACATTCTCACTGGAGCAATCCCAAAGTTTCCGCCACCCGTTTTGTTTTGTCATGATGGAATGAAGTGCATATCCATTTCGCCGAACCGTGCCACACACTTCCAGCTATTCTCGATATGCAACTGGATGGAATTCAAACTTCACAGAATTCGATGAGATCCTTTCTGAAAAGTGCCGTCGGTTATGAAACACATTTTATCGAGTGGAAGTTTTCGTTCACAACTTTTCCTAGCGCATCTTCTTTGACATGATTTGTAGAACGGATACATGATATGTGCTTGAAGGTGAATTTTCATGCAAATGCACAAGCACTGCAGGAGGAATCTTGAGGTATCACTTTCTCTCACATATTGGTAAAATCAAGCATGCTGAGTAAGTTGAATACTGGAAGAATATTAAACTTGGTGTTTCATCTCCTTGCTTTTGTTTTGTTGGAACTTCATAACACGACTGAAAGGATTAACCCAATTTAGTGCACATGTTGACAGATGATGACACATGATTACATGTTGAGAAAATTGTATTCGGTAACATTGATTACGTCTAAGACGATGAAAGGCGGGTTCACTAA